GAGACCAACGGCTTTACTTCCCCGTGATCAGAGATGTTATGCCTCAGAACATCCCGGTGGCGCCGAGTGGGTTGAACCTAGGCCTGCTGGGGCGAGAGGTAATCACTAAACCACCGGCGCCGCTAATTATAATATAAATGATTTAACTACAATTTTGCCTGAAATTAGCAGAATAAGTTATTTTCTACATCTTTCGATGGTAAATGTACTGTCCAAAATATGACACAAATTTTCACATTTTGTTCCTTAATGCTGAACTTATCAAATGCCACACAAAAGAAGCACAGTTTACGACTTATTGTAACTGACAAATGCACTTTAAAAGGTTACTCTTCTACTGTTACTGTGTGTGCTTAGGTTTTAAGTTAAAGCACTCGTTAGCTAAGAAAGTCCTGGAAGTCAAGAATCTTTTCAGACCGTGAGGAGAATCGCAAGGGTTTCCAATTTCGCGTTGTTGATTTCCCGTTGACTTTAATGTTTATCTTTTTTTTTGTATTTAAACCGAAAACGATACATCTTCCTCATAGGTTAATTAATTGTTTACTAATCGTTAAAGCACGTTTAATATTGAAAAGTACCATCACTACCCGATTTTATAGATATGGCAATTAGCCCAATTTTATAGATATGGCAATTACTGCTCAACTCGCCCCTTACCTCTAAAATATGGTACCGTTGTCCACCAAACTGAAAACTGTACTTTTAAAGGTCCAAATCAACTAATTTAAGACTTTTAATCATCAGGTCATAAACAAACATGATTATACTTTAGCTATTTATTTGTATTACTTCTGCGTGAAGTTAACGATTTACATAGTTATCTTAGCCGAAATAAGCATTTTCAACTATGAAACATGATTATATTGTAGTAGAGAAGCCTAAATTTTTAAATTTAGATGCATTAAGTCACCGAAAATGAGTACATTGCTTAACCCGTTAACGACCGAGTCGTTTTTCACCACCGGACAATGCGCGATTTTTCCACTATTTGAAAACAAGATATTAAAGATATTCCAAGGATCATTCTGGTGATATTGAAAACATAATTTACGTTCAAATTTCTGTTAAGACATGACAAAAAAAGAAGCAGATCAATATGTAAAGGTGCTCTTATTATACAATGTTGATTTCTTCTTTCATCAATTCATCTCGGATGAATGAAAACAATTTTGCAATTTAACAGTCCTAAGTTACTGTACTTGTATAAAATAAATCTGGATGCATAACAAATCAAATTTTATTAAGTGAAAACATTTACCCTCTTCTTCCAGGTGATCCACAACTTTTCAGTCCGTCTCATGTTTGGCAATCTACCATTTAATAGTCAGTACATATTTAGGCTTTTCCGTGTGCGCATCATTTTTGAGCATGTACATTCTTGAGAATTAACTGATCAACTATTGAAAAACAATTAAAAGACTGTTGTTTTTAAACAAACACTTTTTTTGATAGATTCGTTCATTTTAGAATATATGGAACATCTTTTGTTCTATACACTAATCCAGGTCTCCGCTGTTCGGTAATTTTTGAACTACTGAGCTCGTGAAAGTATAAAAATCAGGGAAAAAATTAGAAAAATTATTCCGGATTTGTATAGATTTTGTTCAATTTTTCGATTTTATTAATTTCTTACGTGTAAAGTTACTGCAAATTTAACCGACTTTTTCAGCTGTTCAAACCCCCTGTAAAATTTTACTGACTTTGGTGATCTCAGTGTGTAATATTTTCTCAAACACACATTTTTGTATCTCAAAACAACGAAAAACCTCGAAAGGGTTAAGAAAGCGACCATGCGTTCCATATTCTGAACGCTCGATGTTCAATCCGGCTCGGGAGAGTCTTTGCAAAAGGATTTTTTTCTGAGAGATTTTATGAAATACCTACTACACGGTAGCCTTCAAATGATGTATCCAGCTTTTGTTGGTTGAAAAATCGGTCGACGGTTCTCCTCATTTTCCGAAAAGATTGTTGACTACCAGAACTTTCTTTAATATAAAACTTCAAGCTCACACAGTAAGTAGTTCCAAATCTGAACGATTACCTGTTAGAGCAGGAGTTCCTCAGGGTAGCATTCTTGGGCCTATATTGTATAGCATTTTCACTTCGGACCTCCCTGATTTGCCTTAGGGCTGCCACAAATCTTTGTTCGCTGATGACCCAGGCATTTCCGCTAAAGGAACAAGTCTTCGTGTTGTTTGCAGCAGACTGCAGAAAAGTTTAGATATTTTCTCTTCTTATTTACAAAAATGAAAGTTTTCTCCCAACGCTTCCAAAACTCAACTTATAATATTTCCACATAAGCCTAGAGCTTCCTTTTTCAAACCTAGTAGTAGTCACGTAGTCACTATGAACAGAGTTCCAATTTCCTGGTCAAACCAAGTGAAATATATTGGATTAGTTCTTGACCAAAAAAATTAACTTTTAAGGTCACATTGAGGGCATTCAAGCCAAATGTCACAAATATATAAAATGTTTGTATCCTCTTATAAACAGGAAATCCAAACTTTACCTGACGAATAAACTTCTAATATTTAAACAAGTTTTCAGACCGGCCATGCTTTATGCTGTGCCAAAATGGTCCAGTTGTTGCACGACCAGGAAAAAAGCACTTCAAAGGTTTCAGAACAAAGTTCTGAAGATGATTTTAAAGTTGCCTCCCTGGTACAGTACTACCGAGGTACATAGAATTTCGAATGTTGAGACTTTAGAACAAATGTCCAACAAAATAACTAATAATCAATTGCAATGATTAATTCCCTTTATACTTAGATAAGATTTAGTGTTACTTTTTAGTTTTAAGATGTAAATTGTTATACTGACATGCAGGTTAAAAAAAAGCCTGTTTAAAATACTGAATTGCCAAGGCAGGAACAATGTAAAAACACTTCGATATATATCATAACAATTAAGGCTGGTAAGTTACTGTAGTAACTGGAGCACCTAGGTTAAAATTAAATGTAATTTATTAAGAATTTGGAACAAATAAAGAGTTAAAACAAAAGTGATTTCTGCAAACTGGTATTCCTAACTATGGTCCTTGTTTCAGTGATTGGTTCCCGAGATTCTATCCGCCAGACTATGAAAATAGCGACTATAGGAGAGATGGGCGGAGAGAATGTTTTGAGCCAAATGAACTGTCAAAATCTGAGCCAATCGAACATTCTCATTAGAATTTTTCCGAGGATTTCTTATTCTTACTAGGGGAAAAGTTGGCTTCGACAATACCTTAACCTATTATCGTCAGGGGGGTAAACAAAGTCCTAGAGCACTCATATTTGGCCAATCGTTGCTCTGAAACACAATGTATCTACATGCCAAAATTGAGCTCTCAAGGACGTTGTTTACCCCCTGACGATAATAGGTTAAGGTATTGCCGAAGCCAACTTTTCCCCTTTATTAAATTTGAGAGTATTGCAATCGAACAGATTTATATTTCGTGTGCTTCTCACATTCAACTAGTTTTTGGAATCATTAAGAAAAGATCTATCAGATTAATTGATCTTAGTTGTATTTTGTTTTCTCCGCCGATCTCTCCCTCTGAATATTTCTAATGGATACCATACATATGCAACTTTTTCTAGAGTGCAAAATGCTCGTTCATACGAGACTTATTATGAAAATCGTAGTTCTAGTCATAGTTCTAGTCATCGAACACATCCAATTGTTAAAACAAGCGTGAACAACTGAACATTTAGTCAAATTTTTCGGATTTTCAAGAAGCTTTTGGATTTTAGCTAGTAACCACAACAAATCGTTAAACAACCCATTACATGAAGTGATCTACCGCTCGATAACATCAGATGAAAATATCTTTTACAATCAAACCTAGATTCAAAACGCAGCAATCAAATTTATTATATGATACCACTCTTATAAACGGGTGCAAATACACAAATGGTATAATGATCATGCGACTATAATGCATACCTCCTTAGTCCGCGCTGCGAGTAAGGACAGGTGACTCGCACTCACTTAGTGAGGTGACAAAAGGCACCGCGAGTGAGGTGACTCTCCGTGCAAATCTCTTCTTCGACGCTGCGTTAGTCCGTCAATTTTGATCAGATTCAAATTTGACACTGATGCAGCTTTGTGTGTCCTGCTTTAGACACTTCTTATGATTATTTTACATGTGAGTAGTAAGAAATAAGAAATAAACAAAATGCAGCATTGAAACATGTTCATCAAAGGTTGGGCAGGCCTGCTCTACGACTTTATTAACTCCGCTGACGATGATGGATTGCTTTTTTAGTTAACCAGTTTGATTATGATTATAATACAGTAAAGACCAGATTTTGTCAGCCGCTCCTCGCATCAGACTTTTATCTTTCGATAATTTCACATAATCGTAATTCCAAATCATAGTCATTCATCTTAAAGATGGGTGCTTAAGGTATACTTTTATGTAATTATATCACTGAAAAAGCGCATGGGTTTCGTATAACATTAGACAAGATTTTCGAAAAGGGGGCTGACAAAATGGAGTCATTACAGTACTCAGCGTCAAACAGATCAACACAGATTATCGAAAAAAAAAACTGGAGGGATCAAATCACCCCTAACGGATCAAGTATTCGCACCATCCCCTTCAATGAAGAAAATCAAAAGTTTAATATCGCCGCTTAACGATCGCTTATCGCTCCAAAACCACCTGAGACCACCGCTTAATTTAAGCAACTCTTATTTTAAACCCGATGGATTTCAAACTTGGTTTAACCGTTGAAGAAATAGAAAAATGTTGTTAAACCTGGTTTAACTATGGCGCTTAAAGCGGCCATATTTTTTGACGTTTTGCTTTGCATGGATTTTGTTTTCCACAAATAATGTAGTGAATATAAAGATATACACAACATAGTTAAAGAAATATAATGCAATTTCAACGTTGATCCATTAATGTTCAAAAATTTAAAGTATGTTTTGCCATGCGCTTGCACGGTAACGGCGTAAAAATTGAACTGTTTAAATATATGGTTCATGCATTTTAGTTGCAATATAATACATACTTCGTTGTGGCCATTGATTGTTTCGCTGTTGTCGACCTCACAGACGCACTTGATGGCCTAGCACTGGTGGCACTGCCGCTGCTAGTTGCAGAGCTTTTGGCGATAGTTGTTGGTTTAAGAGTAGTAGTAGGTTTTCTAGCAGCAGGAGCTGCCTTTACTTCACCATTAACGGCAGTCATCGCTGGTTTTTTGACAGTTAATGGTGCCTTCTTTTCTGCTGAAATTTTATTTGTCGCACTTCCGGCAGTACTGGAACGACCAATTGTTGAAGACGAAGACGGTTTAGCGACACCAGCTGTTCGAGCGGATGATGCACTGCTAGCAGTAGATGTTTTCTTAATAGTGCTTGTCGTTGGCGGTTTTGATATAGTCGATGGTTTGGTGGTGGCTGGTTTTGTGCTTAGTTTTGCTGTCGTTGTAGTCTGTTTCTCAAAAGTTGGTACTGCTGGTTTCGCAGTTTTCGTTGTAGTTGCTTTGGATGCGGTTGGTTTAGTGATTGTTGAAGATTTGACTGTTGGTTTGGTAGTTGCTGATTTCATTCCAGTAACTACGGGTTTCAATTCTTCAACGACCTTATCGGCATCAGGGACAGCTGATACTTGTTCCAGAACTGGTGTAACTGTTTCTAATAGGTTAGGAGTTGTTGCAGTTTTAATTAATTCAGCAACTGGTTCGACTACTAAGTTTTCGGTAGTAACTGTGGCTATTGATTCTTTGATAGTCTCCTCCAATACTGGTTCTGGTTCAGTATGAGCTTCTGCTGAAAACATGGACTGAGAAGGAGACTGTACAGTTAATACACTCTCATCTGTGATGAATTCATTTTCGGCAACTACCTCCTCTTGTAAGGACTCTACTAACGGCGAAATTAATTCTTCCGTTTTGGTAGTATGAATATTTTCTACTGGGTTACGAGAAGGTGACTCAATGTGTTCTCCGATATCGATAGCGTCTTCTAAAGGTTTAATTTCGTTCTGGAGTTCAAGACTAATCAAAATATCACGGTTTTCTTCCAATTTGGTATTATCAGTAATAATTTCTGTTGGCATTTCTACTGGTACCTCTAGACGTAGCTCTTCACCATGTTCCAAATCAGCATCGTTGACGATTGGCGATTCAATTTGCATTTGATCAACTAAAGCAGCAACATCGTTCACCACTTGCGATGCTACAGCGTAAATTGCAGCTGATGGTTCTCCGGGTGCAGGAGATTTTGATTGCAACTTCTCTTCCCATGAAGGCTGTGATGTACTCTCAGGGTCTGTAATTTCCATTTTATCTTCCAAAATGTGACCGTGCTTTGAATCTGTTGGTGTAAGTTCATGAATATCCGCCTGTACTTTGTCAGTATCATCATTTGATTGTTCCTCAATTTCATCATCAACTTCGGGAAGCATATGCACCTTGTTTAGTTCATCGGAGTTGCTTAAAAGAGCTTCATCTCGGCCTTCATAGAATGACATATTCATTGGATCCTGTTCTTTATTCAGCACGTTCAGAATATTTTGTTCATTTGTAATATCCGATGGACTATCCTCTGTTACGACTTCATCATTGTAATCGTGTTCCAATTTTTCGTCGGCATGCATAGCTTCTTTAAGATTCAGTTCCTGATAAGATGGTTCACTAACAGGAGAATGTGATCGCGCAGAAACGTCTGCGTTGCCATTGACATATTCCAAAGGTTTTTCTAATTCATGTGGCCTATTGTTCATTTCATGCTGGAAATCGTCTTCCGCGGGAACATCAATATTATCCATTGTGGTGGTGAATTTCTTTGGACTTTGTGCAACAACAGTATCATCATCGAGCATCAAAAATGAGTTGGGAACTATACTTGGAGCGTTAGCCACTGGACTGGTCGGATTGGACCTGGTTGGTGAACTGACGGGAACAAATTCCTTTGCTTCTGGGTTAAGTTTAGAAGCCATCTCAAAGCTAAGACTGTCTGGACGTTCTAACTCTTCGTCCACACTTGTTTCTTTTGAAATGTCAGAGAGCTGTTCTTCAGTCGTTAGCTTCTCAACAGGTGCTTCCTCTACCACAATTTCTGTAGACGGGGTATCTTCAACAATATTCATAGATGATGTATGCTCTGCCACTATTTCCGTAGATGGCGCTTCCTCAGTAGCTATATCCGTGAATGGTTTGTCCTCTACCACAACTTCTGTGGACGGTTGTTCGTTTTCTGCAGCAATTTCAGATGATGAAGAGCACTCCGCCACAAGCTCCGAGGGTGATGTTTCCTCCAACAACAAATTTGGCGCAGTGTCCAGATTTAGTTTTTCGTCAGATGGTACTGGATCGGAATTCTCAGAAGAAGGTGCTACCTCATTGGATGTAATAGTAGAGAAGTTGTTTTCATAATCTGCAAGTTCCTGGAAAAACGATAAAAATGAAATAAAAATTGTTATTGTTGTCTACATTCGTATGTAGTAGGAGAAAGAAACTTTGACATACATAAAATTTAAAACCTATTTAAATTATACAAACAAGATTATTTTCCTGAAGGACTTATGATATTCCTGGTTTTTCCCGGTTTTTCCTGGTGAAAATAAATTCCCGACTTTTTCCCGGTTTTCCTGGTTTTGCTGGTTCACTTGCCACCCTGCAGATGTGAAATTTTATCAGCTACAACTTAGCTGAAAACCACTTTTTTATTAGACTTCAAAGTAATTAGTTATCAATTAATTTCGAAGCCAATAACTTTATGATAGATTAGACTGCTTTCTGGACAACACTGCATCTTGCGAGGGGGGGGGGGGGGGGACTCTATCTACGATTCAGGAAAGATTGTGTTTTGCTGTGGCTAGCTGCGTGCACGCTGAGTAGATAGAAAGAAGATTGATGACGATTCTGAAGATTTCCTGCAAAAAGATGATGCACAATGCAAGTAGATGCGAGAAATGAAAAAGATTTTTCGAAGATTGATGCGCTAGTGTGAGATTTTCTGAACATCAAGAACTGCGATTTAGATGGTGCCTGCTGACCAGTTGATGAAGCATGTCAGAAGATCATCTTCTTCGTAATCAATTAATCACTAATTATCCTGACGTTCAATCAAAATGTGGTCTTTAGCAAAGTTGTAGCTGAGAAAATTTCACATAAGAACAGAAAACATTTCACTTTCCCCATAGTAATTTCCATATACAATTCAAAGGGCCAGTGTAGTATGAGTTCGCATACAAATGAGCTCAAATTTTGGGAGAATTGTCAAAACATGATTTGAAATCAATTTGGCTTGGTCGAGCAAATACGATTTTTTTGCATGATAACAAGGCATAATCAGGTGTTGGTAGAAGGTATGTAATATAATAGTAATGACTTTAGTGACTAAAAGAACAAAAATATGACATTAAAACAATAAAAAAGTGACATTTGTTTATCGAAAAAAAAAGTTCCAATATTTAGTTGACACTCTAACTAACTAACAAGTCATCATGAGCATTTTTCATGCTCTTTAAAGTAAAACAAATACAGTAATGCCCCGTTTTTGTCAGCCCCCTGATGAATTTAGGGCTGACAAAAACGGGACACTGACAAAATCGGGACTTTTTTTTTTCGCTTAATTTTTTTAACATAATATCTTTAAATGCTGTTGGATAATGCAAGATTTATGTTTTAGGAATCATTCAATATATACGAGCCCATTTAGGGGGGCGGGGGGAGCTGAAATTTCAAACTTTTCGTAAGTGTCATATAAGGAGAGACATTCTTACATTGATGGTGTGGAGGGGGGGGGGGGAGTGGCTTAATGGACTTAGGTAAGAATTGAATGGCCACTCAATGCACACACACACACACACACACAAACACACACACAAACACACACACAAACACACACACAAACGCACACACACACACACTCACAAACACACTCACTCACTCACACTCACACACACACACACACACACACACACACACACACACACACACACACACACACACACACACACACACACACACACACACACACACACACACACACACACACACACACACACACACACACACACACACAACACACACCCACACACACACACACACACACACACACACACACACACACACACACACACACACACACACACACACACACACACACACACACAGGGCTACAAATGGTGAGTTGACAACCTAGCTCTGGTTCTCACAAGTTCCTACCTCACGCCTCCCCGTGGTGTAGCCTGGGCAATGTTGTCCTTCTGACAATAGCAAAGTGAGGGGGTGCGACGCGAACACTGGCGCGGTAACCATAACACGGCGATAGAGGAAATGCTTCGTCAACCCGCAGGAGTGCCAACCGGCACATTAGGATCGACGCCAGTAAGATCCTTATTACGGCATACTGGATACGGCATGGAACTATGGACACGACACGGTACAATGGATTGGATACCACGCTACAGGGCTGACAGTCGTGCTATTCTGCTCCCTAAGTAAAGAAGGGTGACACCTTCTTGAAATGGCGAGTGGGCTAATAGTGCGGCTGCCCCCGTCCCGGTAAAACCTTGGCAGGCCTCCGGATACGTTCAAAACTCGTCACCAATTGGTGATTGGTGAGTAGTAGGCTCAGATGTAACATTCCTGACTTACGCCGATCTGGCTCTGAACACGGCCCCCATGAAGGACCGTGTCAACCCTAGCATGGCCTCCCTGCTTGCATAGATAACCATGGGATCACGATAGGAGACTACATACAACGAGTGGAGATAGCGGCCCGAAGGGGGACCCATCAGAATGGATAAAATTGGAGAAAAAAATAAAAATGAAGAAAAAGAAAAAACCAAAAAAAATATGAAGAACGACGGCAATACGCCAGACAGTGAAAACGGAGGAGCAAACGTGTTCGCAAGGAGTGGGATATTGCAGAGATCACCAGTGTCGAACCTGGGGGTCACTGCGAGTTCCAGCAGCAGCAGTAAGTTTCAAGAAGAGCAGCCAGGCGTTGGGCTAAGCCAGATATTCACACCAATATCCAGTAGTAGCAAATCCCAAGAACTGCAGCTCGGGAGAACCAAAATGACGGAGGTCAGGAGGAAGATCGATGATCTCTATGTGTTCGTGAAGGATAAAAACAACGTACACAAAGAGATCAAGCAACTTGTGACCGGTATCAAATCCGGCATAACAGTGGCAGATCGGGAATGTCAAGAGTGGAGAAAAAGGGCCGAAAATGCCGAAAAGGCTCTGCTGGAGGCCAAGGAGAGCATAAGACTGGCTCAAGCACATGAGACTCCGAAGGGACCCACAAATCCACGTCCTGAAAAGAGAGATAGGGACACGCCAGGAGATGAGGAGGAGCCCAAAAAACGCAGGGACGACGAGGAAGGCATCAAGGAGATGGGAGAAAATGGTGCGTGGCGTAAAGTCGAGAACCAGAAGGAGAGGAAGAAAAAACAGAAGGAAGATGAAGTGAGGAAGAAGGAAGAGGAAGCGAGGAGGAAGGAAGAAGAAGCAAGGAAGAAGGAAGACAGGAAGAATAAGGAGAAGCCTAGGCCTCGTAGGGAGAGAAGCAAGGGTGACGCTCTGGTTGTTGAGGCGAAGGACAAAACGTCCTACGCAGCACTCCTCCGGAAAGTGAGAGAGGATCCGGAGTTGAAACAACTAGGCGAGAATGTGGTGAAAACCAGGCGAACCCAGAAAGGCGAGATGCTATTCGAGCTGAAAAGGGACCCTACGGTTAAGAGCTCAGCTTTTAAGGAGCTCGTCGAAAAATCTCTTGGCGAGACGGCGAACGTAAGAGCCTTATCCCAGGAGTCAGTGGTCGAGTGCAGGGATCTGGACGAGATCACAACAGAAGACGAGTTGAAAAGTGCGCTGAAGGTGCAATGCAACCTGGGAGACGTACCGATGGCAATTCGGTTGAGAAAGGCGTATGGTGGCACGCAGACGGCGTCGATACGACTTTCTTCGGACGCAGCTAACGAGCTGCTGAAGACTGGCCGAATCAAGGTTGGGTGGTCAGTGTGCCCGTTGAAAGCTATTCCTCGGGTATCTAAGAAAATGGAGAGATGCTACAAATGCATGGGCTTCGGTCACCAGGCGAGACACTGCAAAGGCCCTGACAGATCTGATCTGTGCAGGAAATGCGGAGAGAAGGGGCACGTTGCAAAAGACTGTACAAAGCAACCGAGGTGCATGCTCTGCAAAAAGGAGGACGGAAATGGCCATGTGACGGGAAGTTTCAGGTGCCCTGAGTTCAAGAAGGCGATGGTGGGCCAGCAATAATGAAGGTAACCCAAATAAATCTCAATCATTGTAACACAGCACAGCAACTGTTGTGGCAGTCAACAACGGAAACAAAGTGCGACGTTGCAATCATTGCAGAGCCATACCGAGTCCCTCTCGATAATGGTAACTGGGTGGCGGATAGAGCAGGAATGGCGGCCATACAAGTCATGGGCAGGTATCCCATACAACAAGTGGTGGCAAGCTCATATGAAGGTTTCGTGATCGCCAAAATCAATGGAATCTTTGTATGTAGTTGCTACGCACCCCCGAGATGGACAATTGAGCAGTTCCACCAGATGCTAGATGGGCTCACCGAAGAGCTCATTGGACGGAGACCAGTCGTCATCGCAGGAGACTTCAATGCTTGGGCAGTGGATTGGGGGAGCAGATGTACCAACGCAAGAGGGTATAGCCTGCTGGAAGCTCTGGCAAAGTTGAACGTCAGTCTGGCCAACGAAGGAACCATCAGCACCTTCCGCAAAGATGGTAGGGAATCCATTATCGACGTTACTTTCTGCAGTACGTCGCTAATGGCAAATATGAACTGGACAGTGTGCGAGGAGTACACCCATAGTGACCATCAGGCGATCCGGTACAGTATCGGCGAACGAACACCGGTGGAAATGCGGAGGACGAAAGTAAGCGAGCGGAAGTGGAAGACGAAGGCATTCAATAAGGATCTCTTCATCGAAGCTCTAAGGGTAGACAACAGCGTCCCGGGCCTAAGCGCGAATGAGTTGACCGAATTATTAGCAAGGGCATGTGACACAACTATGCCGAGAAAACTGGAGCCAACGAACAGGCGGCGTCCAGCCTACTGGTGGAACGAGGAAATTAGCACCCTCCGTGCTACTTGTCTTCTAGCCAGAAGGCGTGCTCAGAGAGCAAGAACAGAAGCAGACAGAGAGGAGCGCAGGGTGGTGTTCCGAGAGGCCAGGGCTGCACTGAAACGAAAGATAAAGCTGAGCAAGTCAAATAGTTTCAAGGAGTTGTGCCGCGATGCTGATGCCAACCCCTGGGGCAACGCATACCGAGTTGCGATGGCGAAGATCAGAGGCCCAACGATGCCGGTTGAAATGTGTCACAACAAGCTGAAAGTCATCGTGGAGGGACTTTTCCCACAGCATGACCCAACGAACTGGCC